CACTGGGTTCAATCCCTGGGGAGGGAGGGAGGGAGGGAGGGCAGGAAGGGAGGGAGGGAGGGAAGGAGAGAATATTCTCAATTCCTTGCTAAAGACTTGCATGGTTTCTTCCATATTCCCTAAACTTTTTCTCTTCACTTTTATTTAGACAGCAAGATTATTTTGATTCTCCAAAATATTAAAAATTCTAACCATTTCCTCTATTTGCTTTTAATGAAAGAGAAGCAAAGGGCATGGGAGGAGGGCAAAAAAAAATGTAGTAGAAATAAATATGGACCACTCTCAACTGTTAAAAACTGCTAACATATACAAAGAAAAAAAAAAAAAGAAAAGCATCTGCTGAAGAAACTGAATTCCAGCTAGCATCAATTCTTCATTTGGGATAAACTCAGGATGCTCCTGCATTTTTTGGCAGGGATAGGGGGCAGGGAACCAGGGATTGAACTCAGGAGGGCTCCACCACTGAGCCACATCCCCAGCCCTATTTTGCATTTTCCGAGTCATATCCCCAGCCCTATTTTATATTTTATTTAGAGACAGTGAACTGCTTAGCAGTTCACTTTTGCTGAGGCTGGCTTTAAACTGGTAATCCTTCTGTCTCAGCCTCCAGAGCTACTAGGATTACAGGTATACACCACCATGCTCAGAGCTCCTATATTTTTAAATACCTTTACTTTTCATTCTTTAGTTTTCTTTTTTGCTATACTGAAGCATTCATGTTAACTTATGAATTGATGACCTATGCATAATTAAAATCTTAAAGACAGAATAAATGAACTATCTTGATTATTGTTGAGTGATAGAATCTTTTCATTTCCACAGTCTGAATTCCCTTTATTTTTTTCCTGTTCCATCTTCAGAACAATTCAATCTGTTAAAAAATTACTATCATGGGCTGGAGTTGTGGCTCAGTGGAAGATGCTTGCCTAGCATGTGTGAGGCACTGGGTTCGATTCTCAGTACCACATTTAAATAAGTAAATAAAATAAAAAGGTCCATAAACAACTAACAAAAATATTTTTAAAAATAATAATTATCATGGCATAGACACATTCCTATCAAATCAACAACTGCTATCATTAAAATGCCTGTCACATTTTTAAAAATGCATTGAATCAGATTGAGGTACAAAGTATTATGGACAATAAAAGGTACACATCATGATTCTGCCTTCAGAGACTAGAGCCATTAAGTGCTTAGTACAGTGCCTGACATATGGCAAATCCAATTTAAGTATTTGCTATTATTATCAGTTGTGTGCTAATCAAAAAGATGAGAACAAAACACCACTCAGAGTTATAGAGTTTGCCTATTCTTGCCATTGCCTGTTTCAGTTTACCTGCCTGTACACTGCCTGAACACTGAATAGAGTTTTCCTACACCTAACATCCAGTTTTGCATACTGTTAGACTTGCTTCAGGTCATGGCACTTAAAGTCTCGGGTAACCTCTATTCTAGTCCTAAAGTCTTGGTTCTTACAGCTTATTCTTGGACCATGCCAGTCACCTAAGAAGCCTCCAGGGCTCAGGCCCTCCATCACTTCCTCCCACAGCCTGAATTGCCACTTGATTCCTTAGTCTCACATGACTAATAAGAACGCACACTCCATGCAGTAAGTACAAATTGGTGCCTTGTGGGCCATAGGTAGCCCACAAATCGTGTGTGGTTCCCACCTAAGATTGCCAAGTAAAATAAAGAATACCTAAGTAAATCTGATTTTCAGATGAACAGCAAATAGCTCCCTCCATAAGAATGTCCCATTTACTATTTGGGACATTCAAATTTGAATTTAACTGGGTATCTTAGATTTTTCTTTGATAAATCTGGCAACTCAGCAATGCTGTTGTGTGTGTGCATGAGGCGGGGGAGGTAGCATTTGAACACTTTTCAAACAAGTTCAAATTTCTAGCTTGCCCCAAAACCTTAAAAAAAAAAAAATAGAAGACCTGGCAAGATTGAGCCCCTCTTGGTTAATACCAGCAGGAGTCAAGTGTGGCTGCTCTTTCATGAGGGGCACACACTTTACTGGCTGCCTGAGACACCTTCCCCCTCACATTTTGGTGAACTGCCTGGTATTAGACCTCTGTGTGCAAATCCAAGATATAGGTGTGATCCATCATCTCTCCTGGGATGCCTTTCCTGAGGCGCCAGGTAAAGAGACACACTCATGACTGCATTTGCACAATACTCTGCACTTGCTAAATGCCTAGGAGACTTCAGGAAGAGGCTCTGCAGCTCCCTAACACCAGACCACTGCTGACTTCTGCAACCCTCACCTTTTAAACAGCACCTAGCAGTTAGTGCTATTGCTCCTCTCTAGGTCTTTGCCTTGGTTGTATTTCCTCCACCTGAAGTACTTCTCTCCACCTCCTCCACTGCCTCATGGTGGTGAGAGGCAGAAACCCATAGCCAGACCACCTTGCTGGGGAACTCTGGAAAGATCCTTAACCTTTTTGTGCCTTGTAGTTCTCATCTCTGTGTACTGACTATGGCAATAATACCTAACTCCAGGGACTTTGTGAAGACTAAATCAACTCATATATGCAAAATGCTTATTAGAACAATGGCTCTATTATAACTACTTATTAGAATGCGTGTTATTTATTCAATCTTTTCACAATTATTGGTTGGGCCAAGTATGCCCAGCACAAAGTTGGCACAAAGAACAAAAAGTAAACTGTCCGTAAACTGTCACACAGACTGCCCTGGAGGAGGTATCACTTTAAGCACCAGGGGAAGACCTGACAAGTAAACAGGAAAAGTTAAAATTCTGTGGTAAGTGCTATGGGAAGTTGGGTTCTATGGAAAGCTGGAGGTGGGACTGCGGTAAAGGGGTAAATTGCAGGGTCGTAGGGTGCTAAGGATGGCTTCCCAAAAGGAACAGTATCTAAGATCAGACCTGACTGCATAAAGAGTCACTGTGAGGAAGAACCAGGCACCCCAGGCATAGGCAGAAGCAAGTAGCAAGACCCAAGAAAAACTGTCCTCATCATAGGGACTGTAGCTTTTCACCATCTTTGGCTTATTACTGGAGGATTCTGCCCACCAGGGACTGAAGGCCTACCTGTAGTTTACCTCCGTATCCCTGACACCATCCTGGTGCTCAGGATAATGTGGGACTTTAATAAAAGATTTAAATACCAAACATGATCCCAAACTCAGTAGGTTACTATTTTCAACCACTAAACATCACTTATATTCAAGGCTTGTGRTAAAGGATATCTTGTAGTACAGTAAAAAAATTCTTATCTGAAATTTTATGATCATGCATGCACAAAATTGGCTCTTAACCTTACAGTGGTTTAACAACATCCCCTGTAAATGAAGGTGAGTACAGAGGAAATACATAGAAATGTGACTATGACCAGGAATGTCAAAGGCACAGAGAAAGAGAAAATACGAAATCAAAGACCTAAGGGAATAAGTGCCCAAAGAAAAAGGAAGAAAAGACTTCTATCTCTCAATATGACTAAAGAAAACAATAGGAAAGCAGAAAAGTACAGGAACAGTTTTGAAAAGTACATTTTTCAAAGCATCTGTGCAGAGAAAACACAGGAATAATTCAGGCAGCCACTCATTTTTGACCTTGGAATACCTAACTGGGGCCATGACATGACTACAATGAACAGACCCTGCTGTCTGCACTAGTGATTTGGAATCCTACTCATAAAAGGTGAGGTTTCCAAATAGTTTGGGTGGAAACCATAAAAGCAAACACTTGTTTTTTCCAGGGATTGCTCTAAGCATTACATGCATATGCCAACTTAATCCTTCCAAAAATCTTCTGAGGTAAACCCAATTATTAGCCCCATTTACAGATGAAAGAATTGAGGAACATGGGTTAAGTAACTTGCCCAAAGTCATAKAGCTAGTCACAGCGGAGTTGGTGTACTAAGCTATGTAGTCTAAGGGATCCCTATGCGCTACAAAAAAAAATCCTGTTAATTTTTCAAAATTTGTTTCCTGTAAAGCCAAAGGAACAAGTGAGAAGTCAAACTTGGCATGATGTTAGGATTAGGATTTATTCAAAGTGCGTGGGGCACGGGGCAGGTGTAATAAATGCTTATTATAGTTTCTTAGTAAAGGCGAAATCAGGGCTAAAGTCTTGATGAATTTCTTGGCTCGGTGTTCTAATTCACTAGACAGTCTCTCTGCGACTTTGCTTAAACTCGGATAGGTGATCACCTGGATACGCAAAAGTTAAACCGCAGCCACGGAAAATCAAATTGCCAAACCAGGTGCCCACGCCCAATTGGTGCTTCGGACTCGCAAAGAGGCCAGGAATCCGTAAAGACGCCTAAGTCTCCTCGGCCCTTCCCTTGCTCGCTCTAGAAACCGTTTTCCCAGGCCGATCTTGCAGAATTTGCCTCTCCAGTTCCCCTTCTTTCCCAAACCCCTCTCCAACTCCGCACATCCTTCCCGTAGGCAGGGAGCTGGAGGCACACTTCCGCCCGGTCTCGCGCTCGGGGGCGGAGCTCTGCGCCCGGACGAGCGGCGGCAGGCCCTCGGCCGCGGGAGGGAGTTCTAGCCCCRGGCGCCATGGAGGCTGCGCGCCCAGCGCTCTGGGCAGCCCGCGCCACTCACCGGGGCGCTCTCGGGCAGGTTGTAGCGACACAGTGTGTGGTCCAGATCGAAGCCGACCACATCGCAGGCGGCCAGGGAGAAGTGCTGAGCCATGGCTGCGCTGGAAGCAATGGCGAACGCCTCAGCTGGGGAGGGTGCGAGGAGCGCGGGGACAGACGCTTCGGGACGGGACCCAGCCGGACACGCCGGGGCGGGGCGGGGCGGGGCGGGGCGGGGCGGGGCTGCCCCGGGAACCGCGCCGCGCCACTCCGGCTTCCCCAGTTCTAGAGCGCCGCCCCCGGACACGCTTCTCCCCGCCCCTCGTGTGGCCAGCGTCTGGTGCCCCGCCAGGCTTGAGCTCACGCTGGTGGCTCTTCTGACACTTGCAAGCTGGCTCTGGCTGCGTGGTCCCTGGCCTGGAAGTCCTTTAGACCGGAGGACACCTGAAGCGGAGCCACTACTGCAGAAGTTGAGGAGCGCAGCCAAGAACCTGTTGGCATGTAACCTTTTAAGGGTTATGGCAGAATTAATCAAAACTCCCTTTCATCTTCAAGGTGCTGCGGAAACCAGCAGATCCTAGCTAAACCTGACCCTTTATTCTTGTGGGCAGAATAGTGTAATAAGATGGTGGAGAAAATTTTATCCACTAATAGTCCTCTGATCCAGTTAGCCTACAGTTTGGTAGGACTTTCCACCCACATGATCTCTGATGGTGGGCTGAATCAAAAGCTTTATATTCTACGGTTCCCTAAGTAATAAAACGAACACCTATTACCCCCCCACCGTATATTACAAAATGACACTGGTTAATATTAGTTGTTACTTGATGAGCCTATTTTTTATCGTAACGAATTCTATGAAAGGACATCAGAAACGTCATAAAAGTATATAGAACACACTACAATAGAGTTATTTTTAAGCAAGGTTTTAAGACTTGAGTACAAAATGATTTGAGTGACATTTTGCTTAACTTCTTCCAATATTGTATATAGTTAGTATTTTATAGGTAGAGTTAATTCATTATGTACAATGGATGCCGTCGAACATTTGATTATCTCAGAAACCCCTTCTATGTGAAGAACTAGACATTAAGATTTGTACTATAAGTCTCTTCATTTAAAAAATAAAATACAAATCTATTGTTTTTATACTGCTTCTGTTTTAAAGGGACACTTAATCCAATGGGAAAAATCAATAGTTATGACATAATGAAAATATAAATGATTTTGAATCACATTTAACCCTCAAAATATTAACTCTTGGGAGGCTAATAGAACAGCCAAGGGATTAATTTAGTGCAATAAATAGTGCATTTGAGAAGGATGGTTATAATGCCTAGTGGACTCATTTGATTGTCTTAACCCTTAAAAGTAAAACAAAACTCTCAGGAATTAGAATTGGAATAGGAATAAGAAAAGAGTTCTCAAGAAGATTGAGCTTTTCCCTGATAAGAGCCCAACAACCACTTTACTGTCTGAACTAAAAAACTGGATAGTTTCATAGATTTAACCCATTTTCCTTTTTTTTGAGTCTCTTGGCCTTGGAGGAGTTCACATTCCTTTTTTGTCATCTGCAATGAAGTGTATACCAAAACCTGACCTCTAGATAGACTATGCGTTGAAAGCCATGAGTCTCCTTGATGGATATCTTATTATATTATAGGAATGGGCACTTTAGAGATTGTCTTTGTAAGATAAATGCACTAGTATACTCATTTCCAGAAGGAAGAATGTAAAAGTTTTGTTTCTTGATGACATAGTAAAAACTTCTCTTTATGACACCCCCATCCCCACAATGTGCTAAACTGGGGACAGGAAATTCTTTGGAGCAGGGGAGGGAACATAGACACTCTTCAAGAAAAGACCCCACAGTCTGTAACCAGGTGGTCCTGGAACTGGAGTTAAAGCTTAGATAAGTTCATCACAGTCATATCTACTTGCTGAATAACAGTTGTTACATTTCTTATATGCCTAATGTCCACCTAAGAACCCATGTGCTAGAATCCAGGTCATTTATATTTAATGGGAGAATTTTGCAAATTATATGATCAGATGATTCTGAAGCATTGTACTCCTCTTTGAGGCCCACTCAGCTTTTCTTGATCACTATCTCATGCCTCAGTCTAAACATCTCTAAGAACATGTTTTTCTTCCCCCATTCCCTACAGAACCCTGAGCTTATATATGAACATTCACTTTGTTTCATCAGGCTTATTTTCAAATAAAGATGTTTCCTTTCCCTGAACATCAAACTTTTAGCACCCTTTTATAAAACACCACAGCATTTTTATATCAACTAGAACTTAAATCATCTACTTAGATAGATAAAATATGCCAATTAATTTGTTTCTTTGAGTGAATGTTGTATTTATCAGTGCAAAAGTGACCTGTATCCCCAACAATTCATACATTGAAGTCTTAACCCCCAATGTGACTTTATTTGGAGACAGGGTTTTTAGGGAGATAATTAGGTTAAATAAGGTCAAAAAGGTTATAGGCTTATAATCCTATAAATGCATGAAGAAACACCAGATATCACAAGTGTAGAAGAAATACACTCTTTCCTGTGAGAACGCAGTGAAAATGTAGCTGTCTGCAAGCCAAGAAGAGAGGCCTCACTAGAAACCAATCCTAGTGGTGCTTTGACCTTGAACTTCCAGTCTCACGAGAAAATTTATGTCCAAAACTACCCATCTTGCGGTAGTTCTGTTTAGGCAGACTGACTAGACTCAATCTACGATGAGATTTGACTAATTGTTGATGGTTTGTTAAAAGTAGCAAATAGTATTTGCCATTGGAAAGATCTCTAAATTAATGTTATTTGTTGATTTTTTTTCTTGAATTTAGGTACTTTCACTTATGCATAATATTTWWAAAATTTTTTTAGTTGTATATGGACACAATACCTTTATTTTATTTGTTTATTTTTATATGGTGCTGGGGATTGAACCCAGGACCTCATGCATGCTAGGTAAGTGCTTTACCACTGAACCACAACCCTGGCCCCTTGCTTATGCATMATATTAATTTTAAATTTAGGTACTTTCACTTATGAATAATGGTAATACTATCTTGTGCAGTGTTAGTATTTTTTAAGTATTCCATTTAGGGAGTTTTATAACTATAGTTATAATTTTTAAAAGCTCAGAAATAAGATATTATAATTTAATTGATTTTCTAGAGTCAAATTTCACAATTGCAGCTGATATATCTTTTAATAAAGATATTACTATAAGTTAGCAATTTTAACCTTAGGTATGACTTTTATTTATTATTCATTATTTACCTAAATCACAACTTTGTGAGGATTTGGCTTAAGTTTTAGATTCCAAAATAACACATTCAATGACCTTTAGTGTACTTATAATACTGCATTTTAACATATGCACTGAAAAAACRTTACTTTACAAACTCTTATTTTGGGAGAGAGGGAAATGACCTCTTTTTCATTGGTTTAAAATACGATTTTCTAAATATTCCAAATTAAACAATAGAATGTTCGACTTTTTATATAATGTAAGCAATTCTATATATCTTCTCTGGGCCAGATAACTTGCTTAAAATATAACAATAAACATTATTTAGTAATTTTAAAACAAGACAAAATATACAAATGCCTAAAAATTAATCTCTATGGCACTTTTAAATATTAGCCTTTGAACTAAGTAGAACCGAAAACTGATTTGTAATACTGCATAAGGCCATTAGGTGGCAGTATTTCTGCACTAGGAATGTTTTCAGTTTGTTTTCTTTTGTAATGTTTAGATCTTTAAGCTTCTTAGTGAAAATATTTCATTTTCTGGTCTCTAGTTCTGCTCTTGACACAAGAAAAGAAGCCTTYTTAGGAATTTCACTGTGTTTCTTGTGGGTGTGTTTATTTTTGATGATAGAGAGGAGGATGTGATGGGATGAAATTCTTTGGTGAAAACCTCTTATATAGATTGTGTTTGGACAAAGAACCAAATGTTTAAAATATGAAAAGAGTTTCTCTTGGAGAGAAAGCTAAAACATTAAACAGAATAATTGTGATTCAAAATAATTGTGATCTCAAATGATGGAACAATGGGTTGCAATTTTATTAGGACAAAGGTTTTAGAAGTAGGTTGAGATAACTAACAGTGTATGATGGAGAATTTTGATTTACTAAGCAATTAAATTGGAAATGAAATGTGGATAGACTCAAGGTAAACTCAGCTAGTTCCATTTAAATTCTGGGTCTCTTTGACAATAAYTTCACAGTTCTTCCCTTTGATTTTGACTTCTCCTTTTAAGGGTGTTAAGCTTCTAAATTGCAGAAGGGTCGGTAACATACTGTCAAAGAATCTGGAGAGAAGTTTTTGGTCCTTGGTCAGTGACATTCATATTCATGGATTTTCCTGAAACAGACCTATCTGGCTGCCTTTGGTTGCCTTTGGCCACACTGGCAACATCAGTAACTGTCCCTTCTATATAAAATATAAAGTTTCACAGTAACCATCCCTTCTATATAAAATATAAAATTTCTCTTGTTTAAGTGTTGTCAGAAAAATGTCTAAACTTTAACCCAAAACCTGAGCCATTTAAAACCTGCCACTCCACACTCAGTGAACCCAGCAACTTCCTTGCATAGTTGCGGAAAATCTTCAATTTAAAACTACAAGGGGAAAAAGCCTATGCTATAGCGATAGGGAGGTGGATGGCTATCTCAGGCCCTCTTTGTGTCTAGATGTGGCCCACTGTCCCTATGTCACAAGACACGGTGGAAAGGTGTTTTCTCTCAAAATTCCAAATGCAAATCAAATCTAATTATCTGCTTTTGGATCCTAAGCTCACATGGAGGGTTTTCTTGTTTCCCATGCAAGGGATATGACCATTCAATGGGATAGAGTATAGGACCCAAAAAGGAGCTTATTGTCATGTTCTCTATCCTATTTTCCAATTTAATACCTAATTAAATTTGAATGTCCCAGATATTACATGGGACATACTAATACTTAAAAAATACTAATACTAATACCCATTTTGAGATAAACTTTTTTGGAATTTTTTCAAATTGATTTTTTTTCAGAAGCCCAGAATATGAAAAATCAAATATGCCTTAATGTTTGTCATAGGCTGAATTGTGTCTCTCCAAAATTCATGTCAAAACCATAACACTTCATACCTCAGATGTGGTTACACTTATAGGGCCTTTAAAGATGTGATTTAGTTAAAATGAGGATTTAAATTGTGCTGAATCCAATGTGACTAGTGTCCTTATGAGAGAAAATTCGGACCCATAAAGGATGCAAAGGAAAGACTAGGTGAGGACACACTGAGAAGGAAGGGTTACATGTRAGAAGGTACCATCTACAAGCCAAGACAGGCCTTGGAAGACACAAAACCTGCTGATACCTAGATCTCAGACATCTAATCTCCATAATTATTTAGAGGGTATCCCAGAAATCAGCAGTATAGCAGTAGTAGTACTAGTAATAGAAGAAGAAGAGGAAGAAGAGGGAGAGGAGGAGGAGGAGGAGGAGGAGGAGGAGAAAAAGCCAATAACAATTTTTCAAAAGGGCAACATCAAGATCACCTTTACAGACTACATTAGTTCATTTATGCTAGAATGTTTCATGAAACACAGAGGATGCCTCCTAGAATTGTCTTAGGGAGACTGGGTATATTTATCTACTGATTTTCCTGCTCTGTCATTGTTGAAGTTACCCACCAGCTTTCAAGCTATGCTTGAGCTCAGATTCCTATGGCCACTGATAAGGCCCTTGGGCACAAAGAAGAAAGATCTTATGGAGCTCTACTGAGGTGGGTCACTGCAAGTGTGCTGAGTGTGATCTCACTCACAAATGACCAGGAGCAAACTGCGACTGAAATCAGAATTGTGGTAAAAGGATGTGGTATGGTGCACCAGCGCCATCTACTGTGTCAGCCATTCTTGTAAAACCTGAATCACTTCAGTATCCTTTGCAAAATTTGTTCCACTCYATAAGAATTTATCTGGGAACAGTGTGTCCATCTGTAGGTCAGTTGGTCTCTGATCAATCATTCAACCTGTATAGTCTCTTTCTGTTTTTGTGGTCTACTCAGTATATTCTCTGCCTTAGTACAAAAATGATAAAATTTGATGGAAACTATCAAAAATGTCTTCTTCCAGTGCTTTCCAAATGTGTTGATATCATGGCTTACATAGAAACTGGTAATGTTTACTTATCATGCTGGGACAGTAAAAAAAACTAGCCTAGGTTGGTGGGGAAACCAGGGCTCATGAAACTCTGGGCTTATTCTAAGACTCACAGGGTTGATTAATATCTAAGCATAAATATACTGAGTATGTTCTGAGAAAATTGGTTGAAATACTCTATTGAAAAACMTTCTATTTTTTAAAATAGTAGTAAATTTGTAGGTTCTGACTTCTTAGTTCAGTTGATAGCAAATGTTTATTGAGAATCTATTGTATACCAGGCACTATGATAGTTATTAGAATACAAAAATAGATGTAATGGCGGCTTCCCTAGAAGGGCCTGAAGTTTAAAGAGGGAAACAATACAAAATCTGATAACCACAGTAAAACAGTGTACATAAAACACAGAGAAGCAGCAGCTGGTMTGATGCATCTTCCACACTTCATGTTTTGTAGCATTATACCCAAAGTATTCTCTGCACCCTTTATTCCCTGATTTTCATTCTCATGCAAACCTTCGACCATGCCATCCTTGGAAATAATAGCAAGTATTTTGTCTAGCTGCAGGAACCAGAAGATATCTTTACTCCCTTGCTCTTGCATTAGCCTTTTCTCTCATGTCAGCCTTTTCCACTGGCTGTAGGTTGTTTCAAGCTGGGGATTTTGTCATGTTCATCTATGTACCTCAGTTCTTAGTTTCTTAATGTCTGTGTTATCCATTGTGAAGTTTTGGATGGCTGCAAGGAAGCCTTTAYTCAGAGGCAGCAGGCATTTTATTTCACTGAACCCTAAATCTCAYGTTCTCAGTAATCAATTTTTAAAACAAATTTTTTTTGTTGTAGATGGACATAATACTTTTATTTATTTATTTATTTGTCTGTTTATTTATTTACTTATTTATTTCTATGTTTGAAGATTGTATCCAGTGTCTCACACGTGCCAGGCAGGCACTGTACCACTGAGCTACAATCCCAGCCATCTCAGTAATCAAGTAATCAGAATTCATATGTCACAGATCTATAACGAAGATCTTAATTGCTTAGAGCCACAATAGCACTGTGTTCTGACAACCATTAATTTTTAATTCTGTCAAATACTAGTGTAAGTACATCCGAAACTAACTTTTAATTTGATTTATTCTAAGAGCTTACATGCAGTGGATGTAAATAATTATGGGATAAAGATGGCCAAAGCTAACATTTTAGGAACCTAAGAATGAGCTTATCCAGTAGCACTGGCTTTTAAAATAGTCTGTTTTAGCCAGCTTTGCATCACTGTGACCAAAGTTTCTGACAAGAACATCTTAGAGTAGGGAAAGTCTATTTGGGACTCATGGTTTCAGAGGTCTCAGTCCATAAATGCTGACTCCATTACTCTGGGCCCAATGTGAGGTAGCACATTGTGGGGTGGGCCCAGCAGAGGAGGAATGCTGCTCACCTCATGGTGGGATCTGGAAACAGAAAGAGAGAAGGGAACGGGCCTCAGGGAAAACACACCCTGGAAGGGTAAATTCCAGCGACCCACATTCTGCCATAATCTACCTACCTACTGTTACCACCTTGTCASTCCATTCAAACTAGGATGAACTGCTTAGGTCACAACTCTCTTGATCTAATCATTTTATCTACAAATATTCCTGCATTAACAGGAACTTTTGGGAGYACCTTATATMCAAACCATAACAATATCATACACTTTGAAGTAATTGCTGAYATCAATTGAATGAATGCCCTTACAGACTGTTACAATACACAACACACATATATACACACATATGCACACACACAGCATATATCTATATACTAACCCACACCAATCACCACCCAGTTCTTGTATTTCCCCTTWGAAGATTTTAACTCCTAGCTCATTGTAATTTTTTCTATTCTACTTCTTTTTTATTTTTAAAGATTCTACTGCCATAGCCTCTTAATTCCTGCAACTCCTCTTTGATGATGATCTTGTCATTTTCACTACCTTGACTACCCACTCCCACCTCCTCCATAACCTAAAAAGTAAACATAACTCTCTCTTCTGTTTTTCCAGCTCATGTTCTCAGGCATACAACTCCAATAATTCTTCAAGGTCAGTAGCATCTACAATCTAATAATACTCACCTTTTCACTGTCCTCCACTGCTTTTATCTTCTCATTTCTTTTTACCTAAGCTATGAATATTCATTATAATCACTTCACTAACACATCCTTAATTCCTATATTTCTTGATWATAGCTTTCTACTCAAGAAAATTACAACCCCGGTAGTCATAGATTTCAACAGTAGTCATTATTCTCCTTTTCCCTGCATCCAGGTCYCTTGGTAATATGACCATGCAAACTTTAGAGTTTATTTTCCATTCCTTTGATGTGGTTGAGACTTGTAACTTACTTTGGCCAACAGGACACAGTAAAAAATGACATTTGTCAGTTCTGAGCTTGAGTCACAAGAAGCCTTAAKATTCTACTCTTTTGGGAAAACCTGTTCCTGCCATATAAATAAGACTAATCTAGTGTACTGAGTAATGATGTATTATCCCAGTCACCCCAGCCATCATAGCTTGTAGTCATTGTACTGCCAAGACACACAAGTAGGGCCATGAAAAACCAATCATGTGTGTGCAGACCACAGACCATGAGTGARCCCAGCTTTGATTTGCTGATATTGGTCCATATCAATAAGACTTGATGGCTGACAATGCCACCTGAATAATAATAGTATTATTTAAGCTACTGAATTTGATTATTATGCAGCAATAGCTAACATATACATAAGTTACCTTTTTTGGATTAACAGGTACACAGGTTTGATTCTGTTTTTTGTATTTACACTTGAGAAATTGATCCTAACTGAAAAAAAACTACATGCAACCATTGTATGTAATTTCAGTGAGTACTTATTATAGGAATCATACTCTAATGCACTAGTGCATTCTCTGTAATATTGCCCTAGAAACTCATTTCATATTTTTCCACTCTTCAAACTGCTACTACCTCCACCCTCATCTTCACTGTCATGTATTGACCAGGTAATTTTCCTAGACAAATAGAGGCAATTAAAAAACTATCCCTTAAGTGCCTACCAACCATATTAATCCATCTAATCACATCCATTCTTAGATACTCCACTGTTATGGTTTAGAAATAAAGTATCTCCCAAAAGCTCATGTGTGAGATAATGCAAGAATTTTCATAGGTGAAATGATTAGTGTAAACTCATCAGTGGATTAATGCACTGATATGGACTAGCTGGGTAGTAACTGTATGCAGGTAAGGCAGGTGTKGCTGGAGGAGGTAAGTCACTGGGAGTGTGCCTTTAGGGTTCATATTTTATCTCTGATGAAGGTATCTCTCTCTGCTTCCTTGTTGCCATGTCCTGAGCTGCTTTCCTTCCACCATAATTTTTTGCCTAACCCCAGGCCCAGAGCTATGGAGTTGCTGACTATGACGGGGTGATCAGCTCCGCGACAGAGCAGGTTCCTGCTCAGGAGGTGTGAGCCGCCAGGGAATAAAAAGTCTGAAATAATCAGTAAGAAATAAGACAAAGCCAAAGATTAGATTTAAAAAGTGGAACACCTTATGGGTCTTCCAGTCCTGACAGGAACTGGAACTCAACAACTGAAAAAGGCCCCATTCTTTATTTAAGGGCAGTACATCAAAGGCTTCATGGGAGGAGTCTTGTTTTGGTGCTTGCTTTTCCATGTGGCAGGGGTCTTGCAGTAAAACAGGTTGATTGRCATTTGTCAAGCTACACCCATCTGCGGGAGGCTGTCCAGCTCTACTTCTCTCTGGAGCTGTGTTTGAACTTGAGCACTAAGCTAGAACAGGGTACCAATGTGAATTGGGCATTCTTGAACCAGTGGATTCCGTCTGGGAGTTCCCCAGACAGGGCTTCCCTAACTAATAGACCCAACGCTGCTCAGTTCACCTGAGGCTCATAGATGGCTTCCTGCAGCTGACTATGACCTCTGAAGCCATGAACCAAAATAAACTTTTTCTTCCCTACCATGTTCTTGTCAGGTCTTTTGGTCATAGTGATGAAAAAGCTGACTAAAATATCTACTTTGCCTCGTGTTATCACAATGATTCTTATATTGTGGCTCTCAGATCAGTAACTATACCTGGGTACTTGTTAGAAACAGAAATTCTTGAGTCTCACTTGAGAAATACTGAATCAGAAACTCTAGAAGTRGGATCCAGCAATCTGTATTTTAATAAAACCTTTTGGTGATTCCGATGTGTGCCAATGTTTGAAAATCACTGCCACAGATGATCTGCATTTGTATGTATAAGGCTAACCCTCTTTTTAAAWTTTTTTTTATTACTCCTAGGTTATTCTCACCATAATACAAACATGCTGCTCTTTTTCTCATCTTAGAACAAAATTTTTTTCTGGCACCAAAAAAAATGTCTCTGTTTCTCTGCTTTCCTTTGATGAACACTGGAACAGTTGTCTGGCTCAACGTCTGCAATCCCTACTCTCCCATTCTCTTTTAAGCACATGAAGRTGAACTTTTGCCTCCCACACTCCATCAGAACTCTAAGGTCATCGGTGTTATTAATTTGCTCAATTCAATAATCAATATCTACTCCACATTTTATTTTACCCATGAGTGTCATTTGATGATTGATCTCTTCTTCCTTGGGAAATACTTTTTTAACTTGGTTTGGAGGAAACACTACTCCTTCCTCATGGGCTGCTCCTTTATTCCTCTTTAGTCTCCTTTGATGGTTCATCTTGTCTTCCTGATGTCTTAACTTCTGAATTCTTTGAACCTTTTCCTGCCCTTCCCACTGAAGTAGTTTATCTTCTCTGCATCTGAATTAATGACTTAAAAATTACATTTATGCTTTGGAAACCACTAAACTTATATTTRTAGACTTGGCTTCTCCCCTGAAGTTCAGGTTTATAGATCTAGTTGTCTACTTGGCACCTCCATTTGTAGACTTAATATGAYACTTTAAACTCAATATGCCTAATAGTGATGTCCTGATATTTCCTCCAAAACCTATTRCATCTGCAGTTTTCCCCATGCCATTAGTGGAAGCTCTATTTTTCTGATTTCTCGGGCAAAAGTGCTTGGAGCTATTCTTGATTTCTTTCTTGCTCTTACATCTCATATATAATACATTATCAAATGCTGCACCTCCATTTAAAAAATATATCCAGAATCTAACCCATTACTAACCAACTTCATTCACTGCTAACAACTAGAGCCAGGGTACTATCATCTCCAATCTGAAATATTACAGTAGCTTCCTAATAGGTCCTCCAGCATTTATGCTTGCCTTTCCCTGTCTCCATTCTATTCCCCACCCAACAGATAGAAAGGTTCATCAGGTATAAAACAGAGTTCTCCTTTSCTCTGTTTATATCCTTCCGATGGCTTTCACCCTTATTCAGCATCAAGCCTAAGCTATGGTGGAGGGCTGCCATTCCTGCACTGACTAGACTCTGTCACCCTGTCTCTTCTGTTAGTATTCTATCCTTGCTCTCATTCTGCTATGATCAAACTTCTTTCTGTTCCTCAGATTCACTGTGCAAACTTGTAACCCTTGCAGTGGCTTGCCACTATTTTCCAGGTATCTATGTCACTTCTTCATGATTTTGCTTYAGTAACTCCTTCTTGGGTAATAAGTTAGATTTTAACCTCCCACCCTCCTTCCTCTTTTCTGTGCGCCCTCCACAGTTCTTATCACGTTTTAAGGAAAATATTAATTTTGCTCATTATGTTTATTGTTTATCAACATTTTCCTTCCTTTTACTGTAATGTAAATCTTCATGTGAACAGATTTTTTTTTTTCTTTTTGTGTGTGTCTATGCTGAAGCTACAGCACCTATAGCAGTGTACGGCACAGAACAGGAATTCAATGAAAGCATTTGAATATATGTGTTTCTCTTAACATAATTTGGCTCATATCAAATACTCAATAATATAATCATTGTTACTATATATTTTTTAAGTGCTGCACAGCATTTCTGGGAAATAATTTTTACAAGTGAAACAGTGGAATGAACAGGATATATATTTAAACGTTGCTAAACTGTACTCCAAAATGACAGTACTGATTTGCACCCCTACAAAAAAAAATGTTTGAAGACAGCTATTTTCTCATATCCATACCTAAATGGATGTTGTCAATATTTGTAATTTTTTGTTAAATTGGGAAAATAATAGCTCCTCAATATTGTTTTTTATTAATTTATTATAGTCTTACATAATAGTGGAGTTCATTTAGATACTATGCAAGTACAGAATATAATTTGCCCCACTTGAGTCCCCAKTACTTCCCCTTTATCTTCCCTCCTTCCTTTCCCTGTTCTCCTTATTCTACTCTACTGATATTCTTTTTATTTATTTATAGCTTTTAAAAATGAATTTTGTATATCATATATATATGTATTTTATATATATAATACAAATATATATATGAAATTCACTGTGGTAT